ATAGGACAGTTTGCAGGAGTTATTTCTATCTGCTGTATGGGTTTCAGGGATTGAACTCAGCTTTTCCGGCTTGGTGCCAAGCATCTTTACCTGCTGAGCCCTATCGGTTTGTTTTTTAAGACAGGGTTTTGATTTGTACATCAGGCTGACCTTGAACTCAAAATCCTTCTGTCCCAGCTTCCTGACTACTAGCTAGGATTATACTGCATGTGCCATGATGCCCAACTTTAGTTCAGATTTTTAAAAATAATTTTGATTTATTTTAAGGACAAGTATTCTCATTTTTTAAAAATTCTGTTTTGTTTAGTGACTTGTCATTGATGACCTATTACAGATACCAAGCGTTATATGAAGGAATACAAAATAATAGAAAACTGTTCATGCTTTCTTGCCATTTGCAGCCTGGTACAAAAGTATTGCAATACTTTGATAAGCGCATTAATAGAGATTTATATTTACCATATGTACTTAAAAATCGATTGCTGTGCCGGGCGTGGTGGTGCACGCCTTTAATCCCAGCACTCAGGAGGCAGAGGCAGGTGGATCCTCTGTGAGTTTGAGGCCAGCCTAGTCTACAGAGTGAGTTCCAGGCAGCTGGAGCTACAGGGAGACCCTGTCTCAAAAAGACCAAAAAAAAAAAAAAATGTTGCTGTGAGGGAAAACATCCTCATATAGCACCAAGAACAATGTGAGTGAAAAAGTATTTTCATGACTGGGTTTCAAGGAAGGTTAAGCTTTATTGCTTCTTCCATGTTGAATGCTTCCTCTCCTCACACAAAGTGCTGGACCACAACTCCAATTTAAGAGATTACATGACCTTATAAATTCTGAGTTTGTATGATAGTTAGATTGATAAACTTTATGCTAAATTCTTCAATAGAACAAACCATGAACTGTAAGTGTAATAAAAGCCAGATGAATGCTAGTTGTTTTTGTTTGTTTAAAGACAAGGTCATCTTGTGTTGCAGACTTACCTCAGATTCACTATGTGGCTGGAACTGGCCTTGAATTCTTGATCCTCCTGTTTCCCTCCATTTCCCCAGTACTTGGGCTACAGGCCTGTATCAGCACACATGAGTGCAAATGGCTAGTTTGGGATAAGATTTTATTTTTATTTTGCCTTACTTTTTATTAGCTATTTTGTCTGTTTTCTATACTATACACTGATTCTTCATTACATATTAGCATTTAAAAAATTATCTCAATATTATCACAAACCTAAATGTATGCCGATGAACAAGACAGAATACTATGGATAATTTGAATTCCACTGATTCTGAATTGGCTGTATGTGTAAGGCATACTTTCTTTTTACAGCAGCCCAATCATACATGTTTTAAAGTATATTAAGAGCTTCAGATTAGCAGTTAGAAATTCTGGTGAGGAAAGGACTGGGGCTATAACCCAGGGCCTCACAGCTGCTAAGTGTATGTCTACTGAGCTATATCCCATTCCTTCCAGGACTCAGAATAACATAAGTGAGTACTATAGTGGAGATGAGGAGAAGAGAAAGAAGATGTGAGAATCACTTTTCTTCCTCTTTACCTGTTATTCTTCATCTTTCTTTGGATATAAAATGGGAAGGGAAAAGACAGGTGTAGTGGTACAGGCCTGTAATCCCAGCACATGGGAACCTGAGGCAGGATTGCAAGCACAAGGCCAGCGTGTGCCACATAGTAAGATCCTAGCTCAAAAAACTAAAAACCAAACAAAACCAAAAATTAAAATATCATGCAGAAGTCATTATAAATTGGACAAAACAGACTTTGCCTAGTCTTTAAAAATATTTTAATTAATTTTTATTTTATGTGTATGAGTGGTTTGCCTGCATGTGTGTAAGTGCACCATGTGTGTGCAGTGCCCACAGAGGCCAGAAGAGGGTGTCAGATCCCCTGGAACTGGAGTTACAAATGGATTTTTATAGCCCTGTGGGTGCTGGGAATCAAACCCAAGTCCTCTGGAAGAGCAGCAAATGTTCTTAACTGCTGAGCTATCTCTCCATCCCTGGCCTTGTCTATTCTTAAGTAATCCTAACATACTAAACTATAGTAGTTTTTAAGGGCCCTAGGCATGTTTATAAAATTAACTATGCATGGTGGGTACTTCCATTTTTTCCCCCTGTTTATTTACCTTCTTTTCTGAGCTTCTATCTATCTCTAGACTCCTTTACTTTTTTGGAGTTTCATTAATGAAATTCTTTCATTAAGAATTGCTCCTGTATCTCAAGCCAGACAAAAATCTCAGCATAAAAGTGGGGAAGTGGGGAAGAAGTCCCAACCTTAGCTGAGAAACTACTGACAGCCAAGAACTGTTGGGAGAAAGTGAGTTGGTTTTCAAGGATGTGGCACTAGATAGGTTAATGAGGCTCCAGTGGATGAACCCACACCAAAGGACATTTGGGAACACAAATTTGACTCGCTAGGCCTTTATATATATA